TGAAAGGAGTTATTTAATCTTTTTAAGAGGACTGCTATATTAGTTTGTGCTCACTGCACACCCTCTGCTGCATGCAATACTGGGCCTTACTTTTGTCTCTGAAACCACTTCACCTAGATGGAGGTATAAAGATGGGGAAAGGGCTGAAAGATTTGCTCTTCTGAAGTACTGTTCAGTTACAGAAAGATTTATATTAAGCTAACTTATTGCTTCCAAAGTAATTACCAGCATTAAAATGGTTATTACTTAAGGAGAAATGATTTTTTTTTTCACCTGCTTTGTTACATGCTTGAAAATAGCAGTTTTCACACACAATTCTGCCAAAAGATTTAATATATCATCTTAGATTGTGGCCAGCAACAGTCATTTTAAATGAAAGCGAAAAGATTTTTGTTTAGGTAAGTTACATGTTTTTCGTAAGTTACATGTTTTTCCTAAGGAAAATTTTCTCCTAACCTGCATTACTCAGAAGTTGACATCCTCTGAACCATGAGAGTTCATAAACCTTTCAGAAATCTTCTGTTTGATTTTTAAAGCTTTAACTCTAGATGTTCCTATTTGCCACATAATTGTTCTTAACATAATTGTTTTTGCAATTAGAAAAATGTAGATTAAAGGATAGTTACAGTTCTGAAGTTAACAGGTTGCAGAAGAGGTAGATTTTTTTTCTTTTGAATTTTGCATTTTTAAAGATTTTTTTTTTTTTAAATCCACAATCTAGGTGGAGTGTTTCTTTATCACTGATTCTTGCAGGCTGTCTGCCGCTAGCCTTAGTCGAAGATGAGTTTGAAAAGGATACTTACATGCTCCTGGAATATAAATTAATCTTTAACTTCTCCAAGTTACGTTTGTGATACCATTTTCTGTCTCCTCGGAACATAGGAAGATATCAGTCAAAGTTTCACAAATAATCCCTATATTGATGTGCAATGGCATCTGATTTCCTAGATAAATCTGAAAGGTATGCTTTCAGATTTCCAAAACCTCTCCTTAATCTCCATTCCCCAAATAGCTGTATGCTGAGAGGAAGTGTAGACAAATATACGATTGAACCTAAATATCATTTCCTAATAGGAACTGCTGAGGGATGTGTGCTAAATCTTTTCGTAGCAACTATAGGCCACATTTCAGATTTGGAGACTGAATGGATCCTATGCAATGGTTTCCATGGTTGCAGAGGGTTTAATGTACCAAACAGTATTAATACTCCAGTCCGTAATATAATAGCTTGTCCAAAGGCAATTTTTTCCTCTCTATTTCCTACCATAAAATATTATTGTTTAAATGATTGAATAAAGTTAGAACGTTAAAGTCCTTATATTAAAACTTAACATGTTGTTGAGATTATTTTGCCCTTCAGGAGGACAGTTTGTCCAAAAACAGTAGCATGAGCTCAAGCCTGCAGTACTTATGTGAATAAAATTTCAGTTGGCCCATGAAAGCTGTAGGATTTGTTGGTCATGTAATATTTTTTTTCTTTACTAGCTTGTTAGTGCCATGCATCTTAACAGAAGCTGACTGCTGCTACTTGCCCAGTGAAGTCAAGTCTACTCACCGTGGTTGACCACAGTTGGAAGAAGACAGGGTAAGGCTGATAATTTACAGGTGAAATCTCAGTTATGATAATGTTACATAACTTCTAAGTGCAATAGGTTATGTTGGACCAATGAAAAACCATTTTTAAGGGAATGCTTCCTTTTATGTTTTAATACTGAGGTGGAGTGGCTTATCATCATTGTTATCTAGAATTTTCAAAGGCTAGCCCTCTGTTGGAAGTTGTCGGCTGCCTCGTTTCTCATGTTCTTCTGAAAATCTGGGCTGTTCCTTGTGGTAGTTATTAGGAAAAGAGCATGCCGTAATTGTGCCTTAGCCAACGGTCACAGAAAATCCCTCAATAAATTTTGATGTGCCTGGGTACTTCCACTTGACTGTGGCATTCATAGAACTGAAAAATGCAAGTGCTTAGGCTATGTGAATGATTCCTTTTAAAGTGCCAGTAATTTGCAGCTGCTGTTTTAATACTAGGATAAGCCATGATGGAATGAGAGGTAGGATCATAGAGAAAACTTGCTGTGGGGAAGACAGGCCTCAGGTAACTGCCTATTCAATTTATAGGTGAAAGAAATGTTCTAGTAGACCTGTCTGACGTTCCCAGTCAGAGTATAGCATATTAGTGGATAAAGCCCTGTCTCAAGCATGGCTCATGAGTATCCATTCAAGTACTGTAGACTAAAATATGCAGAGGCCTTAACAGAGCTCTTCAGAAATATAACAGAGAGAAAAAGAAACTGTCCACATTTGGGTGACTTTGGTATTTATAATCGTTAGTCACTACTGAAATGTAATCAGTGTTGGGTTCTGGCCTCTGCTCTACAACTGAATGCTTATGAGAGTGTGCAGAGTGCTCTAAACCTTCCGGTGATTTATCTGAAGTGTTTATTATCTGTCTCACAGATGTGTATTAAAGTACTGCTTATAGAGAAGAGCTCAATGTGCAGAAAGGTTAAATTTTTAGCTTGTGTAAACTGTTGTTTTCCCACTGAAATCAACAAAGTAGCATTGTGACTTACCCTAGCAGAGGATCTGGTCTCTAATGAATGTGCAATGTAATGTTCTTGGCCTCTTCTATGAATATTTCAGAATGTGCTGAAGTCGGGATCTGAATGCATTCATTCATAGACCACTGTAAAAATGATCAAAGGAAAAGCTAATTCTTGATCTTGTATATAATAAATCCTTTACTTTCAGGTTTATTGAACTGGATGCCATCACAGACATGCTTGTTCCTCATATACAGATCAGAAACCTGAGTAAAGTGTTACTTGCTTTGGACAAATGTCTCTAGAGCTTCCTAAATTGCTTGGCACATCTAACAGAGCAGGCAGAAGCATCTTAACTTTTGTATATAGAGATGCTGGGTCAGGTACAGTGTGCACTGTGTGGATCAGGTCTTTGGAGATACTGCTTACTGCTTTAGGCAAATAGCAGAGGAGAAGGGGACATTTACCCGAACATCAGAAAAAGTACGAGCAGAAGAAAAGGTGATTAATTTTAAAACAACCTGTATATGTTGAGAGAAGCTTACTTTTCAATCTCAAACTATTCGAAAAACATTGCATAGATTTTTAACAAGGATTTATGGTTTTTTTTACATTTCCGTCTAGTTTTGTTTTGCATCTTGAAGGTTTCTTTATAGAACAGTAGTAAATCCTGACAGCAAAAACGTGAAAGAGATTTCTGGGTCATGAAACAATTACAGAATTCTCCTTAGACAGTAGAGTCTTTTGCCAGCGAACGAAGTAGTTATGCTTACATAAGGATTGCTTAAAGACAACATTTTCTAAGGGTATTTACATCCTGGATATATTAGAAAAATCTACACAGTGAGGACTAACAGTGATGGTAAAGATCAGAATTTTTTTCTACCTTTCTACATTTCTTAAGAGAGATATTAACTCCTTTTACAAAAATGCACATCACTGAGTCATGGGATAAAAATAATAGGATTGACAGTGCTCAAATCCAATCTCAGTCAAAATTTGCCCCATCAAAATATCATAGGGAGGAATTGTAGGTATTTGCTTATCCTATGTACAGCACTATGGATGTCCACCATAATAATATTGGCTGAAGATTTTCAGATCAAAACTGCCTTGATCAAGGTCTCCCATGAAGCATAGTTTCCTTGCAAAGGGCAGAGAAACAGGGATGGGTGAGAGATACAATATTGAGAAGGAATATTTCCTAAGTGATATATTTTTCTTTCAGGATAAAATATTTTAACTTCTGTTGAAAATCTTTTCTATAGAGTTCTTGGTCTTGTACTAATATTGGTAAGGTTTACCAGAACTGTATGCATGTGCTTGAAAGTGCACACCTCAACACTTCCAAAGACACTCCGTAGAACACTGCATAAAGTTATTTTCATATTGAAGTCTGAATTTAGACATATATTGCCTCCTCCTCTTATCAGGGAGTGTTATTGAGAACTGCTTATTGTCAAAATGAAATGTTCATATCAGAGTGGCCATCAGAAGATGCTTTAGCAGTAACTGAGGTGTTACTTTAAATGTGAAGTAAAGCTCTTTGTGAATTGTTTCCTTTAGTTAGCCAACTAAACTACATTGCCCTATTAACAAGGCCTGCTATCCAGAGTCAAAAGAAATACACAGTATAAAGGCTAACTATGAAGATTTTCAGGATATGGGTCTATGGTATCAACACCAAGGTCCCTCATCACCTGAGAAAGATAGCAACCCCATCCAGGTAGAAATCAGAGATTTAAAAAAAAAAAAAGAACAGTCAATTTCAATTGCAAATGAGAGTGGATATTGGATGTTTGACATCTAATCAATGTTTCCCTGGAAAAGTAGTCAGGCCTTCCTGGCTGCACCTAAACTATACTGATTTATTAGCCAGTATTGCGCTGTTGGGTATGAGTTGGATATTGTGGCTTCCCTGGTACTTGGACTTGTCACATCCTATTATGATCAGCACTCTGAAGTGCCTTACCATGACTAAGTGATGTGTGTAAGAACTAGTGGTCTGTCACAATCACTATCTGTTATTAGATATAGAAAGTATCTGAAATCTATCTGCTTTGAATTTATATAATTTATGAAAGTAGGACAAAGGGTTGGTAATGATAACTTCTGATTGAGATGCAGTTATCAGGGAGAAGTAGCTACAGCCTCTTTAGCACAAAACAAGATCACTTTTGTGAATTTTGAAAATGTGTATTGCCCAATCAGAATTTGAGTTGTCTAGATGAACAAGGAGAGTTGGGATTTTGAAGTTTTCAAGGGCTTATTACTCATGTGTTGTCTTCCTACGCTTAACTGACATAACTAATAAAAATGAAATGGGAAAGTCTGGCCAAAGAATGATTGGACTGCTTGTTTTGCTAGGCTGATTTTTCAAGCAATTGATAATGTCTTCATGAGCACTTCTGCCGTTTCAGTCTGTTTTGCAGTAAGAAATGCAAACATTGATGTTCCTAGGTTGCATGGAACATGGGTTTGATGTGTTATATACAGTCTTGCTTTGCTGTGTGAGTTTACAATGCTTTTGAGTGCATGGTGATATGTCAGTGCAGGTACGTTTGGGATACGTTAGTACGTAGGGGTAGTGGAGTTATGTTTTTAAAATTGCTCATCAGGCCTCACACAGAGCCATACCTTGAACGTTGTCATTCTCTATTGGTGTTAATTCTGCTGGTGGAGTCACTTCACTGTAAATGAGAAGAGCTTTTGTTTGCTTAGGAAATAATAAAATCTTCAAGCTGCTGAAGGGCAATCTCCGAAGATTTCTGAGGATTAGCTGAGATAAGCACTTTCTCACAGTTTTCTGAGTATTGAAATGTGTGGAATTTCAGGAGGAAAATGAAAGTGTGTGGCTTGTTCCTACTTGCACTTGCAGTGTTGGTGCTCTGTCTAGCTACATTATGATACATACAATTCTTATGGGCTTTAAAAGTCATATCCTTCAAAGTATTTAAGCACTTAGTTCCTCAAAAGGTAAAGGAATTTAGACACTTGAGTAGCTTTTAGGATGTGGAATATATTAATTGTTGGACCTTTAAAAAGGTGGCATTCTTCAGGACTTCTTTTGGTTTTGTGAAGAAACTCTGTGCCACCCGTTGCTTTACAGAGTAAAATCTAGCAACATTCCTCCAAGTCAACAGAATTTTAGCATCTGAGGTTAAAATACAAGAAAGCACTATGATCCAGTGATCTTTCAGGCTTCGTAAGAATTAGTTATTTTTCTTTCTTTGAAAGAATTAGTTATTGTGAATGGACAATCCGTCTCCTGCTACGGAATGATAATCTTTTACAATGTGATGATAACACAAATCCAGTGGATGATTCATGTGCACATGCTTCCACTGGGAACTTTTGCTGAGAGGAGATCTATTTAAACAAAATCTTGTCAGCTGAAAGCACTCCACAAATATTACTGCACAAAACAGTACATTTCAAATAAAAATTGGTTCTTGATGAAAATATATACGCTTTGCTTAAATTTAAGATGGAAATTGACCTGGAGAAGGTTTGGGTGGGGGAGGGAAGGGGGAAAGGTTAGTTCCTTTCTGGCTTGTAACTGTAAAAAAAGTTTTCCTCTCCATTACTGCTACTCTAATCTTGCACCTTTTCCTAGGTAGAATAAAGATGATTAGCAATGTGGAAATGAGGAAAAAAAAAAAAAAAAAAAGCCTTGAAATCTGCCAGTTTAGGGTCGCCTTGAAATCTGCCAGTTTAGGGTCTGGCTGCACGTATTTTTTGTTTCTTTGTGTTCTTGAATCTGCATTTCTACTCAAAAGGTCAAATCAGTCTGTCAACATCTTGGTCGGGAAGAACCTAAGGCTGGTACAGTTCTGATATGCAGCAAACAGGCTGGCTAATTTGAGAAAACTGATATTCTTCCTTGCCTGCTACAGATCTGACCTCTGCAAGAATTCCCTTGATACAGTAAATTGTTCTGGAATTAGACTCAGCATTTACTGGTGTGTTAACAGGATAGTTCCTCCAGGCTCAAATAAGTATTCTAAAAATTCCCTTCCCTGAATTAACTGCTTAAATTGGATGTGAGAGAGGATTTCACATCATGTATTTTGCTGTACACCATTTTGTGAAAAGGAATGCAAATCCTTATGGCCAGTCTTAATTGTTGTAATATATATAGGTGTCATAGGGCTTGACTTGTTAGAAAGACAGTTGTGTTTTCTTTCTTTGGATACTCTACAGATCGTTGGTAATGGTAATGATAACCTGGATGCTGTCCAGCCCTTGGTGTAGGAGGATCCCCGACATGGACGTATCACTGTGCAGGATATGTTGTATCAGGTATGAGTTAAACTATGGAACGCAATCCAATGCCTGCAAAATCTAAGTGTGGTGTCTCTTGTAAAACTTATTTCCGTAATTTTCCTAAGAAGATTAGATAACTATTTCATGTATTCAGGAAAAAATAACAGAAGTTCTTTTGGACATAAAAGGGATTTTCTTATGTTTTGCTGTTTCTTCAGTGAGAATATGCAGACTTCAGGTTGGTTACCCAGAACAGTCCAATGTATATCTGAGGCAGAAAAAATAATCATGTCATTTTTCTAATCTAAAGTTCACTGAAGTGAATGAAAAGGCTCCTGTTGGTTTTAAGTCCAGCCTTTACACAGTGAACAGAAGACTTATGTCTTATCTGCTTACATGTGAAAATGTTGTTGATAATTTATGTTGATAGAGCACATGTTAACTTTCTTCCTGCATTTATATAACAGGAGGCAAAAGCTTCAATTGCACAGTTAAAAACCTCAAGGATGCAGTTGTCTACTACCAGCATGATGATAGTGACACAACCAAGGATTACACTGTTTTAAGAATATTTGATGGAAGGCACAGTTTTGGGCACAAGTTTCCCATTAACCTCCTGCCTAAAGATGGCAGCCCACCATTCCTGGTGAACAGCATCATCCTCAAGCCTGCAGAAGGGGAGACGGTCCTTGTTGAAAAACATCTGTTGAAGTCTTCTAATTTTGATTCCAGTGATAATTATATGTTCTTCAAAATAATCAAGGCAATGAGTGCTGGCGAGGTTATCAAGAAATCCATTCCAGATGGGCCAGGTAGGATGTGCTGTTTGACAATTGAGTGACTAACGTTTTGGAGGGTGGGAGTGAGGTATCTATAGCAGCTAACAGTATATAACAGTTATTGTCCCCAGTGGTATGATGAATGAGGCTACCATGGGCTGGAATTAAGAGGACTAACGGGAAAAAAGAAAAATGGTAGATTATTACTGAAAATGATTTGTGTTCTATTTTGTATTTTAAGGTATCCCTTGCAAAGGGATCTCCTCTATGGCCTTGTTTCGTATCATCGTTTTGGAGAGGAGATTTTTCAGGACTCCTTTGAGTTCATTTCACCTGATAGTTAAGAACCTCCTAATCTTTTAGACACTCAAGTAAGTATGGCCATATTCTTAAAGATGACATAGCCTTCAACAGAGCTGAAGACCCTGAAGAATATTGCATAGCAGGAAATTGTGCGGGGGTAAGACTGAGAGAGCCACTCATCCATGATTAAAAAAATAACATGATGCTTCATATGTCCAATTCCTGTTTTACATTACAGTGACTTGATAAAAATCAATGAAGTTGCTCTGAATTGTCACCAGTATTAAAAGAAGTGAGAGCAAAAGCAAAAAGATAGCAACCTTTTTTTTTTCTTTCTTTTGACATGCTGATTCAGATTGTTTTTTTCTTCAGGACACTGAAAAAAGTATAAAAAATGAATAGAAATTTCAAGCCACTAGAAAGGACAGCATTGAAAGAGGATTATTATGAACTGACAAACCTAGAGTTGAACTGGTAGCAGCAGAGTAGAATTTGCTATCAGTCAGTGGTCAGATTCCCTACTCTAGAACTCCAAATGTTTCAATCATCTTCTAAACTGTGATGATTCACATTGCACCAATGGAAGTCCAATTGCCAGAGGAAGTTCCTGCAACTATACATCCACTTGCTATCAAAGAAACTTGCACACATCTCGAGGCATCACCTGTGCTTTTTATAGACACTGAATCCCCAGATAATTAGCTTATGTACACTGTTATTAAACCATGTTTCTCTCCCACTTCTCCAAGATACGTATGAAAATGTTGAGCTAAATTAGGCTTTATAAATAAGCTGATAGGGAAAAGACTTAACTTGTGTTTTTCTCCCTTACAGATTTTATGATAGGGGAAAGCTAATTTTCAGATAGCTTAAAAACTACAGGAAAAAAAAACCTTAAAAAAAATCCAGCTACTCCTGAATGGATGTTCCTCACTCAGGTAAACAAACAGAGCATCTTACATCATTTGTTATGATGTATTGGTTCAGTTTCTTTAAATCTCTGCTTTCATGAACACATGTTGGGAGGGGCAAAAGAACAAATGAACACTTATCAAAATCTAAATTAAAATACAGTAAATGAGCATAAAGGAGAGAGGTAGGCCTTGGCAAAATCTGGCATGCGCCTTCTCAGTCCCATGTCAGACCATTTTAAGGGCTTCAATTATGAGTGTTATGCAGCCCCTCTGCAGAGGACATTGTTTCATCTGTATATATACTTTGATACCTTCTCTGTGATCCTGGAAACTAAGCAAACTATTGCAAAATAAGGCCACAGTCTCTGGTTTTCTTGATATTTCACCAGCATTGAAATTTGTCCTGCATGGGCTACCAGACTTATCAAAAAGAAAAATGCTTAGATTTTTGGGAACAGATGAGCTGTATATTTCAAAGACCTGCATAAGCTCCTCTATGCATGTGCATTGTTGCAGTGACAGTTGTGCTCACTCCTAATTCTATTAAGAGAAGGAGATTTGTGGTTTATATGCTAAATGAGTCAAGCCCCACATCTCACATTGTGATCCTAATTTGTAGACTGGAAAATGAAAATGGTGAGCTGTACATGATGCTGTTGCTTCAGTTCCCTGCCAGCATACCGTAGCACAAGTGGAAGAGGCATACATGCCTCCATGGAGAGCTCGGCTTAGGTGCATGCTTTGTACAGTTTGAGTTTTTGGTCAGTGACCAGGAGGGAGGTGTGGTGACTGGACAACATCACAGCGATAGCAGTGGATGGTAAAGTGCCCAAGGTATTTATTAAGGATCCTAATTGCTAACAAGTGATTCTTTCTTAATGACTTTCTGCCTGACCCCGTGGTTGTAGATAGGGGTACTTGAGGACTTGGGTCAATGGCAGGGAAGTTCCACATTAATTGTTTTCTACCGAACTGAGATCTTTTCATCATGTTACTTTAAAAATTGAGACTTGTCAATTCCTTTGGGTGTATGATAACCTAAGCACCTCAGTTCTATACATTTACCCCTGACTTCTTCCTGTAGTTTCAAATACTCTGTTGTATTGCTTGGTAAACAAAGTCTTGCTGAAATCAGAGCATTAAATTTGCTTAAGGTTCCTTGAAAGTAGCCATGCATTTTCTACATAAATGAAAATTATTCAATGAATTTATTTCATCTGTGGTTTTTATGTGCATGTATTCTTTAAGTGTTGTAATAAATACTAAAATGCCAGGTACATTAAAAGCATCAGCAAACTATGTGTCATTTATTAAGTGAATATTTGTGGAAAGTGAATTTTAAGTATGCTATGTAAAACTTATCTTATGGCTCTATTCTTCGGCTAAATGGCTAAATTCTACCCTGAGTCCAATTTGTTCAGGACAGTAGGAAACTCAAAAAGAAGTGTCAGTGTGAAATTTAGTGAACAGCTTACAAACATATGGGAGGATTATTTGGCAAATTTTAACATACAGTTGAAGCTTTGGTGGCTTTTGAGAAACTTCATTTCTTCCCATAGGAAATTGTTTATGGCAAGAAAAAAAGCTAAAATTATTAAATTTTTCAAGTATCCCTAGTAATACGTGAGATTGTGTCAGATTCTAATTAGAAAATGGTTACCAATAACATTCCCCAAATAACAGTAAAAGCTTGGTAAGAAGAAAACAATACTGACAATTTAGTAGCTGTGCTTTTTTTTGGAGGACTTTTTTTTTTTTTTAAAACTTTGAACCCATTTTCACTTCTTTTAGAAGAATTATAATTCATCTACAGTGCTTTGGTTTTTTTGGGGCTTGTTTTTTGATCTTTCTCTCTCACAGTCACCCTCCAGCTATACACCCCTGCCTATTAGCCCTGTGGGTTTCTTCTGAAGACGAGTGAGCTTGTTTCCAGCAATCTGTAGGCCTTAAGAACCACTGTAGCCAGGAGAACGCCCCGTCTGCCCCCGGTTTTAAAGTCAGTTAGAGAAGCATCTCTGTACTCTTGTACTAGAGGAAGTTACAGTATCTTAAGTTCTGACTTGGCAGCCTTGGACAAAAGCAGGTAGCCCTTTCCTTTTTTTTCTTTTTTTTCCTCCCATGCTTCAAGCCAGAAGGGTTGCTTCTCACCTTTTAAGTGAAAGATAACTTTCTTCATAAGCTTCCTTATACCCCTGTGGATGTTCTGAGGTTTTTCCAAGGGCCCCATGCTATCCTAGTATCTCACTGAAGCAGGCAGATTAAGAAAGCCTTACATTCTCACTAGAGTCAGAGGCTGAGAGAGATGAACTAAACAGTACTTTATCTACAGTTTTACTCAATGGAATGGACTAAATTTTATGAGCAGTATGATGGAAAGAAATATATTGTTAAACTAGTTTTCTATTTGTTACTTTGATTTATGATGGCAGGTCAAAAATATTATGTCTCAGCTGGTAGTTTGAATGATTTTTCATCAAATGTTAGTCCTGCAAAATAGACTACATTCTTTTCAGTACAAGCTTTTCATCAGAGAACTAGAAATAATGGTTACTTGTGCCAGTTAGACTTTGGACAGCCCTATTAAGCTCTACAATAGGAAATATCAGAGCCTTTGGATCTACTGACATGTTTTCAAGCTTATAAACCCTTCCTGAGGAATACAATAATCAGTGTTTTTTTCCAAAATCCCCTTTTCCTTATGAGCCAGTCTCTCTGAAACTGTGGTCTACAGAGAAGGGTAAAGTCCAAAAATAAGAATGTGTTTTGTTTCACTGATTGTTGTTATTCTGCTGTGAAGTTGTTGTGATGCAAAACCTCCCTGTATGACAGACAGAAGGGACAAAAACAAGATAAATAATGTTTCCATAGATTGTGTAGGGTAGAATTTGGGTGGAGGGGGAATCCTTCAGTTCCAAAAACACATGCTTAGCTTCAAGGGGCCTCTTTCAGTTCCAAATAGCGGGCGGTAGCCTTTATTGCCTCCCTAGGCTGGGCATGGAGAACATCCGCATGCCTCTTGATAATCGCAGAGTGGACAGGCAGTGGTCGGTCCTGGGCATAGGCTGCAGGTGGGAGGTTTGTTGCCTTTGCACAAAGATGCCTCTCTCTTTTTGAGTCACTGTGAGTTTAGGATCTCTCTGACTGTAGTGAAATAAAAGCCTGCTTAATGCTTCCATGAGGTTCTGAAAGGTTTTTTTTCAGTGGGCCCTCTAACTGCAGGAAGACCGATATACATGGATCTAGTTACCAAGTAAAGGCTGGGTGAGCTCGCTTTCCAAAAAAAAAAAAAAAAAAAAAGAACCCCCTCACCCCCCTGGGCAACTTCCCTCAAAAAAGCCCTCCTGCCAGATTCTGTTTACATTTTGCATCCCACTGAGCTGAACTTCTTTGAAGTTCAGGAAGTTTTCTCCCAGACCCCTTTGGCATGAGGCAGTTTCTGGTGTTTTCCTCCTCTGGGGTGAGGTACTTGGTATCCTTTCTGGATAAATACCTACTATGTTTCCATTGCTTTATTATTCCTTACCTGGGCTTTAATTTCTGGTGAAACTAACCCAGATAAAAGACAAGGAGCTTCTGCTAGCTGAGCGGGGTGGCCTATGGCAGTGCTCTTTGCCATGGCATGGAGCAATCCCCCCGGCTCTCCACTGCTACAGAGCCGTGAGCCACACTTTATGCCCCCCCATCCCCTCCCATGTTCGCATGTGCTGTGAGGATGTAACACAGTGGTATCCAGTTGCTGGGTTATTTTCAGGCAAGACTGAAGGCGATGTGCCTTGCAGGAAGGCAATTATAAGCCCTCGGGCACTGCACTGTTTGAGGGAATCTGCCTTTCATGGTTTCTATTTCTTAAGCAGCTATTGTTAAGCAGTCTCTTTGCCCCATTAATGTTATTTAGCTATTCCTTTATAGCGCCCTAATGTAACTTTTGATTTTGTCACTCTTTCAGGTTTTCAACAATCATCTGAAACAGAGGAAGCTTCCAGTTCCTTCAGCACTGGAGAACATCTAATGGTAACAGTCCTGCACACCAAATATAATGAATTTCAAATGCAGCTTATAAAACTTCCTCTGCCTGGGTTCGTTGAACTGCATGGACTTGCCATGGTAGAAGGAGATATGTTTAGTCTTCAGGACTTACAGGCTTATAAAATTAGTTGAGGCATTTGCGTTCTTCCTTTAAAAATCTCTTTTGCTGATAGCTACTCAGAGTTTAAAGAACTCTGGACATTCTGCTGTGGGATTTAGGGGGAAACAGAGCCCGTGTTGTATCCTTAAATGTATAACAGTGATAATGCATATTTTCTTAAAAACAGTGTTTTAAAAAGGAGATTCTAATTTTGTGAATCAGAATCCTAATGGAGGAGAAGGAAGGAGATCTAGGGGATCAGAGATCAGGGAAGTCTCAAGCAGGGCTGTGCGTGTGGCATAAATTTTTGCTTCTGTCACCTGCATACACATTTAAACCAGCTGTTGCTGAATTAAAGAGGTTTTTAAAAATTTAGCATCTAAGATGTAATCATGAAAATATGGTACGTTTGTTCTGTCAGTTTTATTGAGTACTTAGAAATAGAAAGCTCTACTTGAAGTACTGTCCAAAGGTAGAAAAGGCTGGATCTTTTTTCTCTTGCCATTTAAAATGGATGAAAATCCATGTGATAAGAACACCAGGCTCAGGATGCTTTCCTGTGTTTTATGACCTGCCCCAAACTTCTGCTGTGATGAACTCTCCGTATATTTTTCCTCTGCTTCCATCCCCTCATGTAAATTGTTGGCTACCATGAACCCATTTCTCTTGTCTACCTTTGTCTGACCAGGTCCCCATGGTAGGAATCAGTGAAACAGTAAAATCAGTGGAAATGATCTGTGCTCATCAGAGTCCAGAGCAATATTTTAAGTGGGAGCAGCCAACGTGATCAATTGTAGAGCTGGGCAATGCTAGACCTTAGTTCTTCCTTTGATCCCCTCCCCTCATATTTATAGGTTTCTAATTTCCGCTGGATAATGAATATCGCTCTTCATTATAATTATGTTAAAAGGTACCAGCATGATGATTCAGAAACCCTTGAAGATACAGTCATATTTTCAGCAACAGATGGATTTAACACTGCAGATGGAGTGTTAAGAGTGCAGGTAATAACAAACTCAGCAATGTACTGTACTGAAATATAATTGGAAAGTATTAATCATATATTGGTTACTTCAGCTTCACTAAGTAGATGTTTAATTTTCATCAATCTTTTTACCAGATTCCCGGAAAGATTTCTTTGTAGACAGAGTGTGGCTTCTAGGTGAAATGATTGCAGAAGTTATTAATGACTAGGGCCTTGATCTTGCAGGCATGTCCCCATGGCTTACCCAGGCATGCAGAATAAAAATCATTTGTGTTAATAAGGCTGTCAGATGGGGCCCTGTTCAAATGGCCTAAGTTTCAGATTGTGACTAGTCAGTAGTAAAACCTGGACCCCTCTGAACCTGGGAATTACTGAAGACCAGCCAGCAGGAACTACTGGTGCAGGGTTTGTGGTGGAATGTAGCCAATTTGAAAAGTCCAGTTTATAGAGGTAAACCATGAGTCTAAGTCTTTGCAGAGCTGGGATGTGCTGCTGGGACATGGCATGTGGACAAAACTGGGAAAGACTAGCTTTTCCTATTCCTCGTTATTTTCTCCTAGCAATGATCTTTTGAAATCTGCATACACAGGGAACAGTAGGCTAGTGTTTCCATAAATCCTGTCATCTTGCTGTTTTGGGGGGCTTTTATTGCTTTTGTTTTGTTTTGTTTTCCCAAATGTATCTCTTCCTAGAAGCTGTATTTGAAGCTCAGGTAACTCCTGAGCTTCAGGATGCAGGATCAGGTAAAGCAGTGATATCTGATTGCAGATAGTGACCCTGATACTTTACTTAATGCTATTCACAAACTAAGATTTCGTTTGTAAAATCAGA